TTGGGCAAATGATGTAAAATTCTTTGCCTCAGTATTCTGCCCTATAACGTGGCTAATGCCAGGACCTAACTCATAGGAATGTTATAAGAACAAAATCCATAAACCAATAAAAAGAACTTAGAAATATATTTGTCATGTAGTAGACATGTCCTATGACTGAATACATACATTTCTCATCTTAGACCTTTGGGGAAACCACTTCTGTTGAACTCCCCCAAGACCTGGATAGAATGAGACAAGTGGCAGGTCACCAGCACCAAAGTGCCACCTAGGAATACCATCTGCTCCCAAAGAGTTACACTTGTACTTATGCTACCACTGTTTTGGGGAATTCTGAGGGTGAGTGTTCCCTTTCTTTGGAACACTGCTCTGTTGCTCTTTCCTTATGAGAGAGGAGAGAGGTTGAAATACCCTGGGGTTTCTAACTACCCAGGTAGGTAGCATGTGAGTGGTCATTTTTTTCTTCTCCAGGATTTAGTTGATGACAACCATGTGTCTTCATACTAAGAGCCAGAACTTCTATAGGCGGGTACTTCATGGCTGTTATAAACATCCATCATGGCCCACAAGATACTTCCATGCCTTAAACTCCAGGACTGTGATTACATCACAAAAGGGATGTTGAAGATGTGATTAAGGTTAGTATTGACTTCAATATTTGGAGCCAATCCTGCATTATTTGAATGACCCAAAGGAAATTATCCCAGGTATGGAATAAACACTAAACAGGAGAGGCAGAAGAGGAAGTCTTTGAAATGCAGAAGTGGAATCAAAAGAATTTGACATATTGTTATTGGTTTAAAGATGGAAGGTACCATCACCCAAAACATGAGAACCTCAATCCTACAACAAGAAGGAATTCAATTATGCCAACAACCCTTTAAGAGAACCCTGAACTTCATATGACAACCACAGGCTTATCATATAATATTTTTATTTAAACTCAGTGAGAACCTAAGCAGTGAATCCAGCAAACTTATGACCAACAGAAACTGTTAGGTAACACACAGATGTTGTCTTAAGCTGCTAAACTGATGATAATCTGTTTTAGTAGCAGCAATAAAAGACTAATGCAATGTTGCTGGGCTTCTACTTATGCATATGTTAAGCGAGGGCAAAATACCTTGTACTTCCCACCTTATGCGGCTGCTATGAAAACAAAATGATGTAAGGGAACTAAAAGTGCTCCACAAAGTTTCAAGTCATACAGCTGTTATATGCTCCAACAGGATAAAATCAATCAATGTTTTGAAGCAACTCGATTGATGGAATTAATACTTCGAGCACATAACATTTCCCAGGAGAAGAGCCGTGGGTTTTCAAGGCTGCTTTTCCTTCCTAGAGGACTAGTACAGCCTAGATGAAATCACACACAAGTTCCACTCTATTTCCTACCTATATGACCTAGGACATGTTATGTCAGAGTTTTAATAAAATGAGGATAATTATCCTTGCTCTGACAAGGTGATAAGGCTGTGTGAGGCTCTAATGAAGTAATGAGCATGAACATGTAATGGAGGCAAAGCTCCCAGATATAAAGCCTATCTGTCCTACCCCATGTATACTCTTGATGTTGAAAGAAATGCTGAAAGGTTTGAAAGAACCTTGTGCTGGTACCATGAGCAGTTTAATTGAAGTGATACCCCTCCTAAATCCTTGCAGTTTCCATTAATGTTGCTTTACTATGACTCTGAAATTTACCCCTTCTTATATAAACCGAAGATACTAAAGTAGTAGTCTCTTTTCATTACAATGAAGGCTTTGGTAGAATCCAAACCCAAGAATAACAGAATATCAAAGCTGAAAAGGTGCTATAAGATCACCTTGTTTAAAGGCAACAAGGCCTAAAAGGGAGAGGGATTTGCTCGGCATTCTAGAGAAGCAGTGACAAAGTTGAGTCCCTTAGGGCTCATGAAATGAATTTTTTTCCAACTGTCCCTTGTTGCCTTTCCACTGCCTCCATTGCTCAGAGTTTGAAGGCCCTGTAACTTTTTTAGTTTTCTTATTCACAATGCTGATTTCACTATTTGAGGTGGAGAAATTTCATTCATTTTCACCAAAGCTCAAGGTCATGGGCAAAACAAAACAAGAAGCAGATAGCTACTGACTCAATTTTTGTAACCATTCCCAACACATCAAATCAGCCTCATTCAGTGTTTCTCAAACTTTTACATAGGAATTCTTGGGAATCTTGTTAAAATACAGATCCAGATGTCTGGGTAGGCCCACAGAGTCTTCATTTCTAACAAGTTCCCAGGTAATGTTGATGTTGAGAATGCTGGGTCATGTTATGAGTATCAAGACTTACCTTATGTTTTCAGCAGTCCTATTTCTAATTATCTTTTCTATTTACCATAGAGATTCATCTTCTCTAATACTGGGGGCAGCGAGGTATATTAGAAGTGGAACGCACTCTGTAACTTCTAGTTCTGTTTTTTTTTTTAAATCAGTCACTAGTGTGTGATCTTAAGCAAATCATTTCTCATCTCCCTGAGCTTCAAGTTCCTTATCTATAAAAATGGTACCATCAGCTATCACATAGGGATGTTGTGAGGCCTAAGGGAATGAGAAGGCCACAGTGCAGAGTAGAAAGTACATTAAGATTCATAGGACTAAAATAAATCTGTGCCTAAGTTTCCTAAGTTTGTAGAAAACAACACAAACAGTAGATAGTGGCTGTACCATCATGCCTAATATGTTCACAAATTGTTTTCATGATGAAACTGTAGATGGAAACCATTTGTACTAGACAGTCTGCATGTTTTATTGAAAGTCACATGAATGGGCCCCAGAATCTCATTTTTTTCTGATTTCACACATATATTTCACATAGGCGATCTTTTGAGTCCTCTATTAATGTCCTTGGCATCAAGTGTTTCATTTCCTTATGAAAATGAAAGCTTTTCTTCACTGAAAATACCTCCTTCAAGTTATCTTGCATCTCTGCATTTTCATTGTTTCTGAAGCTTTTTCTGGGCTTCTAATGTGTCAAGGCCACTTGTCTGCAGCTACTTTAATAGTAGCATCATTGATCTACATTTTCTCACAAGCAATTTTTAATAGTTACAGAACTACTTCCTCTATTACATTATTTGTTCTAGTTATTATAGCATCAAGGAACTTCTTGAAAAGGGAAGGTCATTTCCCCATGATAGCCAATTATTTAGATATGACATTATTTTATTATTGAAATTGGATGCTTAGTTTTGCTCCTCAGTGGCTGAACATACCCCTATGCACTTTTTTTAACTTCAAAAATAAAAATTCAATATTTTTTGAAACCATCTCCTGATGTTTATTGTTATAACAGAAAAACTGTGTAGGGTTTTGACCCCATGGCATGAAGTTCCACAGAGCACAGAGACCTTTCCTGCTTCTCAAACTGCATGTATGCATGCCACAAGTTCTTTGATTGAAACAAGACATGCTACAACACTGGCGAAGTATCAGCAAAGTACATAGACATACAAAAGGATCTTTTCCCTTTGAAAAATAGCTAGGCCAAGGACTTACCAACTATCAACTAAAATTAAATCTTTTACTTCACAAGGTAAAACTAGATGATCCTTTAAAAAATATTACCAAACAGATAATCTAGAAGTGAAGAGAAAGCCCAACTCAGGAATATCTTCCAGACTAATTTTCATTTCCCTGTAAAGTGGACTTAACTCCCCTTCCTCCATCAAATGCTTACCTTTTAATATTTTGTTAGGCAGGCAAGGGTCAAAAATCATGCCAGTTCTAGTAATGTGACCTCTGTTTAAACACCTAACTCAGTGTGACAAAAAGTAAAAAAAAAAAAAAAAATATATATATATATATATCTCATGGGGTAGAGTCAGAGAGGCCTGGATTCAAATCACTGTTATTTACTATAATCTATATGCCCTTGAGCTGTTTACTTCAGCCCATTGGGCTATACTTCCTTTATCTTTAAAATGAGATGAATACTTGCATGACTGTTTTAAGGATGAAATGAGATAATATACATGAAGCACCTAGTACTTAGTAGGTGTTTAATAACTGTTAGCTGCTTTATTATCACTGCCAGTTCAAGACTTACAGCTCATCCATTGCCAGTTTCTCTAACCTACTGGCTAAGGTACGCTAATTATTTCCTATAGCTGCCACTTTGTGATTATTTCCTTTATCCCATTGCCTCTTCTAAAAGACCATCAAGCTTAGGCCAAGCCAATCTCATTCCATGATAGCATGCCTCGCCAGAGTCTTATGCTCTTTAAATCAGAGTATCAGGGGGAGCAATGTGGTTCATTCTTTGGGGATAGCTTAGAACAAGGCCAAAACAACTTCAGCCATTATTCCTCCAATAAGACTGATGATACCTGTCCTTCATGTTCTAGATCTGTGTCCCAGGCAACACAGCAATCTCACTACCAAGTTTCTGGATATTTCTTCCACTGGGATTGCCATACATTTCTCTGCTTCTCAATAATCTTCCAATTTCATCGTGGTGGTTGTGGTATTTTCTACCCAAGAAAACTAGAGTCAAACCATCTCTCTACCATCCTCCCTGGTTCTGAGGTTCCATTGGCCACTGGTTCCCATGACCAAATTCTGCACACCTGCCTGTTTTAGTCAATCATGTAACAGGAAAGAGCAAGGGCCCAGGTCTCTGAGACCAGGGCTCAATAAGAGACCAGCAAGTCTCAGAGATTTTCTTTGCGGCTAAGCAGCGGATGAAATGATAACTTTCTTGCTCCTGGTTCCTAAGCAATGTGGCCTTCAAAACTGGGTAGGGTAGAAAGAGCTCAATATGGCCACCTGGGCATGTTTGATTTGGAATGGCATCAAGATTCTACTCAATAACTTTGACCAAAGATCTTAATATATTTAGCTTACATGTTCCTTACTCACCAATAAACCATGCTTGGAGTTCAGTCTTAAAAGTGACTTTTGCCATTTAGTAACACCATCCCAAAGACATCTCAGAGTTGGTTGGGACTGGGCAATGTATGTTTTTATTTCTATTTCTCTCTCTCTCTCTCTCTCTCTCTCTCTCTCTCTCTCTCTCTCTCTCTCTCTCTCCATATCTATGCTTCTCTCTAAGTACTACAATCAGTGTACTAGTGGGCTCATGTTAGAAGAGTGGAAGCAGGAAAGCCCTTCCTCCCATACTGGGTCATGTTATAGTCACATGGACCTTAAAGAGAGGCTATGGCCACAGCATCTGCCTAGGAACACTGACACTTTTTCAGAAGATCTCTTTCAACAAACAGGATTCGGAAATTATTTCTTAGCTTTCTGACCCACTACATTGATTTAATTCCCTTCTAGTGATTGAGATGATCAATGAAGGGGATCAGGGGATTGTTTTTTGAAGTTTTCCCCTTGGTGGTAAATGTGAGGTCAATAAAAAGGGTAAAAAGCCAACCCCCCAAACTGATGGTCATTAAAGCCACCAACCCTAAGGCCCCTGGTTAGAAAAGTGTGGTGTAATAGAAAGAACTCCACATACCAGCTCCAGGACCTGGGATCTTGTTCTGCTGTGGTCACCAACTTGCTCTGTCAGTAAACTAGGCTGTTAGACTAAATGTTTTTGAGAATCTCTTCTAATCAAATGCTTTATGGACTGTAAAATGAGTCTTTTATCTCATGAGGTGTGGTTCTTAATGTTTTTTGGGTCATAGGCCCATTTGAAATTCAGTAAAATATTATGGACTATCTGCCCAGAAAAGGCAAATTATCATGGAATCATGCATAACATCTCAGGGGCATCATGGAGTTCCTGAATCCATGGACACTCGATAGAAAAATTGCCTTTTTTTCAGGAGATAAAATAGCTTATCAGCAGAAGGCAAACATGAAGCAACAGCAATAACTACTTGGCTTCCCTCCATCTTAACAATTTTTCCTAAAATTTGACTCAAGAATGGAGCTTCAATATGACAAAACACAATATGCCTTTTTAAAGAAATATTTTCAGTTTGGAGTAGTTTTGTTTGTTTTTCACTTTTTCTTGTTTGCTTGGAAAGGAAGCTTTTAGGTGAAAACAGGAAGGATGATCCAAATAGACCTAGGCTTTGACATGCAAAACATGCTTTGCAGATTTGTCCTAAGTGGCTGTAAGCAAGAGCAGGAAGGCCCCCTTCCTAAGTCCATGCAGGGTGTGAGCACTATGAGGGGCATAACCCATGCTGTCTGGTCCCACAGCAGACAGGCTCTTAGCAACATACGGCAATGCCAGAGCACCAACCTGGCACCAGTGCCCATATCCTCAGTAAGAGACATGTTAACATTCTCCAATATTCAGCAAACATTCCTACTCCTCTTCAACCAAGGTAAGCAATGACCCCAAATCAAGTTGCCTTTAGTTCAGAGCAAGACTCCTAAGACCAGTCTTTAGCCCCAAATCTTGAGAGTTTGACAGCCTTTTGAGGAAGCAGGAAGTTCAGGGAAGAGTTGAAAACTAGGCTCCCTTCTTCGACTCAGGTCAGTGGATATCTTGGTTTTGGCAGAGTCTGGGGCTTGAGGGAATCCAGACATTCACAGTGTTACAGGAGCTTAATACAGACCTTCTGAGGGGATGAAGACAGAATACAAAGGAGAAATAAACATGTGTCTAGGACATGTGCCCCTTATTTTTGGCTTCCCATGAGCCTGAAGGTGCAGGGCCAAGAAGGAGCTGCTCTTCAGCACAAAATGTCTCAGGACACAAGGCTTTGAAGTAGACCCTTTCAGGACCTGGAAAGGATCCCTGAGGCCAAGGATTTTAAAACCTGAAAGAAAAAGAAGAAAAAGAATTAGGTAGGGCTTGTTACACACTTAAGAGCCACTGGGCAGTGGAGCCTGCTAGGTAAGTAGCAAAGCCTATGACTGGTAGCTAATCTTCTGAGAAACAGAGGCTGGCTGGGAAAAGGCCATTAGGGCTCAGATCCCACAGAACAGACCTACAGTGGAATAGTAATCAGGTCTGGAGACTTTGTGCCTTCCAACTTTAATTTCCCAAAGGTTTTCCTGGGAAAGCAAAAGTCTGATACTAGAACTTCTGAGATTACCCCCACCTGTATGGCCTGCAGTATCTTCAAACTTCCTTTTACTGGGGCGTCACCTTTATGTTGGCTGATAAGGAGAAGCTTATCAACCTATGGACCTCTGAGAACTGGTAGTGATAGGAAGACAAGGAAGGCTAAGGAGCATATGACAAGCTAAGCTCCAGATACTTGGATATCATTTATGTGTATATTGGTTCATGTCATGCCAGAAATCTGATAGTTAAGCAACTGGAACTCCTAGGTAGAGAAAAGCATTTCCTGACCTCCAAGATGCTTTTGACCTTAGTAAGTCACTTATCTCCTCTGAACTTCAATTCCTTTATTTGTTGAGTCAGAACACATATTATCCTACCTACTTCTGGCATCTGGTTTGGATTGAATGAGATAATGGATATGAAAGTGTTTTGTGCTAGACAAACACAAAAGGCTAAGGATAAAAGTTCTGATAGGTATGACTGAAATAGTAATTTAGTCTGAAGAAATGAAGTCCCTATACAGATACTAAGGTAGCCTCTTGGCACCGTCTGCAATACCCAAAGGAGGTTATTTGTTTCCTTCTTGACCCAAAGGATGTGAAAGTTACAAGGTTCCAATTTCTCATTTTATAGACTGGGAAACTGAGACTCTGAAAAGGAAATGTACTTGCCCCAAATGTTATAGCTAGGACTCATAATGAATTTAATTCAAAGGCAACCTGTACAACTATACTACCGTCTGACTGGAGGAGAAAGAAAGGAAAGGAGAAAGTAATTTAAAATCACACAAAACCTCTGAATTAAAAAGCACTAAGTTCAAGGGTCATGCAATTTATGACAATGAACCGAAGCATGAAAGTGAGTCCCCATCTTCTAAACCTGGTGTATTAGCCCTTAAAGACTCTGTAATCAGGATCTTTGTAAAGGTTCTGTAGTCAGGGTGGAGACAACATACCTGTGGCCTCAACTCTCATCTCCAGGAAGTCTGCCTTGAGAACTGTGAGCAAAGAAGAAATAAAGTTCACTAAGACTCTAGAAATCAGGATGACATAGGCAAAGCAAGGAGATGAGGGATACTTCCAGACCAAGGCCAAACAGGTCATCTGAAAAATGGGGAAATGATTCTGTCCAGATTTCTTAAAGCTTCTCTGGAATGTTAAGAGAGCACAGTCTCCTGACACAAAGACATTATTCAGGTAGCAGAACAATTCTTTGTGTATCTGTGTCAGGGCATGTAAAAATGTATTATCTTTTATCTTAAAGACCAAACCAACCTTGCCCAGACTCTTAATGTGTTCAGATCAATCCTAAATCATCATTGCTTGCGGACAACTGGGAATTACAAAAAAATACGATAGAACCAATTCCCCTATAATGTGAGCAGAGCATCCCACACAACAGCTGGTCCCCTTCTGTTTTTCTCTTTTTTCTTGAAACTGTTTATAACTGTTGCCTGAATGATCTCATTCCCATTCATGGTTTCAATTACTACCAACTTTTGGGACACTTTCCTCAAAGTGCTACTATTCATATTGTAGTATATTTGGATGATCCATACTGAAGCTATATGGTATCAGTTCTCAACAGTTCTATCCCTCCATGTATCTATGCCCTGCCACAACCATTAGCCACAGCTGCAGTTACCCAGTGGATATCTGTACCAGAATTTCCCCTGAGTGTCTTCAAAATAACCATCTATAATTGAGCACAAAATCTTTCTAAAAAAAATCTACTCCTTAATGATTCTTGAATCATCTACTTAATTACTCAAGTTTGACTATTCCCTCTCAGGTGTTCTGCAACATCCCACATTTGAAAAGTCAGCAGTGTCTTACTGAGCCTGCCACAAGTCTGTCCCTTCTATTCCATTGCAATAGGTAATGCCATAGGCCAGGACTTTCATCAAATCCTGCCAAGATGATTAGTCTCCTAATGGGTCTCCCACCCTCCAGTCTATACTATTATCCATCTTCCTCATTATCATTATGGTGATCTTCTCACAACTCAGCTCAGAATATGAATTGCCATGCTTAAGTATCTTCTATGACCCTCCTCCAATGGACTACAGTGTAAAGACTAAACACCTTAATATGTCATACAAGACCTTCATGATCTAGCCCCAAGTCATGTTTCCAATCTCACCTATAGTTCCTCTTTTTACTCCCACATTCTCTCCAAAGTGAAACAATAATCTCTTCTGAACCTGTATTATATAAAGATGGTCTGCTTCCCTATAATGTCCTTTCTTGCAGTCTTCACTTCCTCTTCTTTTTTTTTGAACCCAGGACCTTGAGGATGCTAGGTAGACACTCTACCACTGAGTTACACTCTAGCCCCTCACTTCTCTTCTTGATGGCCCTCTACTCATTTTCTTTTCAGTACTTTTTCTAAAATTGCTATAGAATGGAAAGGAATGAGGGAGAGTGTCATTCAAATAGCAGGATAGAGTTAGTTATGCAAATGGGAAGCAAAAGGGGGCAAGGCAATGGTTAACTAGTTTGTTTCATGACAGATTGAGGGAAGAGTTTGGCCACAGTGACCATGGATAGGATTGACTGTGTGACTAGTCCAAGGATCTTGCTCAGAAGCTGGCATTTTTATTTAGTAATGCAAGTGGTGGTTATGAGGTGGGGGTCTAGATGGAATGGATGCTTCCCTATTTGGATACTGAGTGGGAGGAACCAGTGGGATATGGGGGCTCATGACATACTGGAGAGCAGGTATCCACATTGTTCTTATTTATACTTCTTCTAAGATGGAATCTGGGGATAAAGACCAAAATTAAGTCTAGGTTCTTGAAGGGTGAATATAGGATAGATAGAGTAGTACAGTGTCCTGAAGGGCCTGATTTGGTCACAGCCCACTTGAGTTATAGTTGCTCTAAGGCTTCCCTGAGCACTGGCTGGCAAAGCCCACCCAATTGGCAATGTTATCAGACTTGTACACACTCAACACTAGTTTGTCTATTGCTTCCCTATTGAAAGTTTGCCTGCCCTGAAGATTCTATTGAATTTTGTTCATGCCTCTCACATATTCCCTTCTCAAAGCCTTGGTTCCCATCTATAGATGCAGTTCAATCCCATAACATTTTTCTGTACATTTTTACTTATCCTTCAAGCTCCAGCTTAGATAATCATCACTTCTAAAAAAGTTTTTCATTTAGACATTCCAATTGTATTCTGTTCATTCCAGTTTACATTGTTCAAGTTCCTTGGTATTCATTTCTTAAAAGGCTTTCCCTGGGGGGTGACCAGGAAATTGTCTTGCTGGAGGGGTACATCATTAAGAATATTAGGCATGCCTATTCTTTCTTGCTTCTTTATCTCTTATTTCTTTTTATTCTCAAGGCAAGCCTTTTTGAAAACCTCCATGGTAAAACCTTTCATCTTCATGCTATTTGTAAGAGAAATCTGGGGCCTTGACTTAACTTTCATCTGTTATGGTAGAACAAATGGAAAATCATGCCTAAGGAGAATTTGGCCCAGCCTATAGCTCCCTGTGGCTCACAGTACTAGGGTTTCTTATGCAGAACTAGGTCTTGGTAAGTCTAGATCTACAGTTTTGACTAACCTATCTAACCTATCCCAAGCTGAATTGCTGGAAAAGGTGAATTATTTTGCTTTTGACTTACCACCTAGAAGAGTAACAACACTTCCATTACATTTTAGGGAGTACAATTTAAAACTCTCTCAATAACAACATGAATGACTCACAGAAAATACCTTAAAGGCTAAGCAATCATTTCTCCAGGTTCTAGTCCAAAGGGCCCCAAATGCCCAGGGATTGATCAGTTTGTTCCAGAACTTGAGAAGTTTTAAACACAAATGGAAGGAATGGAAGGAGGGTGTCAGAAAATAAGGAAGGAAGGAAGGAAGGAAGGAAGGAAGGAAGGAAGGAAGGAAGGAAGGAAGGAAGGAAGGGAGGGAGGGAGGGAGGGAGGAAGGGAGGAAGGGAGGGAGGGAAGGAAGAAGGGGGGAGGAAGGGAGGGAGGGAAGGAGGAAGGGGGGAGGAAGGAAGGAGAGAAGAAAATAAAACAAACAAACAAAAAACAGATCTCTAGTCTGTACTCCTAGAAATTCTGCTTTAGCAGGTCTAGAATAGAAGCCAGGAATCTTTGATTTTTTTCCCTCCAGTTTTTGCAGGTGATTTAGATATGCACTAAGTTTGAGAACCATTATCTGAGGCTACTATTTATCTTTGAAATGGGAGCCATGCTTATTCTAAGGCTATTTAAGGTAGAGTACTATACTCTACATGTTCCTATCAGTTGCCCTTTGAGAATTTAACAGGGTCTAGATAAGTAAAACAAAAAAACAAAAAGAAGATCTACATTGGGTATGAGCTTCTGCAGTATAGTCTGGTGTGTATGCATGAGTGTGTGTGTGTGTGCATGCACATATTTGTGAGAGAGAAAGAAAGTGGAAGGATGAGGCAAAGAGACATATGAGAGACATAGGGAAAGAAAAACAGATAAACAGGGACAGGGACATAAAGAAAGAAACACAGAGGAAATACAAAGAGTAACAGAAAGAGACAGAATGAGAGACACTAAGTGAGAAAAAGCATGAGAGACACAGTGAGAGAAAGAGATGAAAATACAAAGTTGCAGGAAATAGAGAGCATTCTATAGAGAAAGAGAACAAAAGAAGGTAAGAGCAAGGACCCATGGGATGTTCATAATGCATTTATTAAAAAATGATTTGGTTTCTCTTCTGTTCCTTTTGTCTCTTACCTTCCTGTTTTCCGGGAAGCTGTTTCAAAGAACCGGGTCCTGGAAGCCACCCTGCAAACAGAAGTCAATAATTAAGTCCCGTGAGATGTTCTGGAATACATGTGAAAACCAATGACCAATGAAAAGGACAAAAGACTGAACTAAATAGGCAGCCAATGCGAGGCCTTGCCTTTGCCAGCAATGGGTCTGGGTCTCAGGAGAAACCCAAATATCAGAATGTGTAATGGCCAAGCTGAGTGTAGTAGTATATGCCTGTTATCTAAGCAACTAGGGAGGCTGAGGCAAGAGGATAACAGTTCAAAGCCAACCTCAGCAACTCAGAGGGTCACTAAGCAACTCAGTGAGACTGGGTCTCTAAATAAAATACAAAAAGGGCTGGGAATGTCACCCAGTGGTTAAGTGCCCCTGGGTTCAATTCCCATTACAAGAAAAAAAAGAAGATAAAAAAAAGAAAAAAAAAGTTATGTATAATGGCTCTGAGCCCAGAGGCACCTGAAAGACCACAGATGAACCCATTTGCTCCCTGTGGGTCCAAAATGGTCTAACTTTATTACCCACTTCAGCTTTTCTTGGGGAAAATATGTGAAATTAAATATGTGAAATTAGTCTTGGGTTTCAAAGTATAATTTTTGGCATTTAGTAAATATATGTAGCTAGTTATCTGGAACAGTGGAGGTTTTGCTCTTCTTTCCCCAATTTTACAATTATGAAAAGCAAGTGATACAAGAAAAAGGAAGGTCAGGAGGTAGTATTGCTGAAAGAAGTCCCAGTCACTGGCTAAAGACCAGCCAGGCTAGTGGTCCCTGAGTGCTGCTGTGGTCCCATCCTGGTTGTTCCTTCCCTGGTTCCGTGGCTTACAGCCCAGCTTCATGAAAGCTTGCTGGATGTCAGCTCAGCTCCTACCCTGTAAGAGGCTCTCTGGAGAACCTGAGTCATTTTGGAGGACTTTGAAAGTTTTTTTTTTTTAATGTGTTCATTAAATTACTTTTAAAGCCAGTAGCAATAACAAGAAAATAAGAAAGTAAGTTCCATTTTCTGGGCTAGAGCCTAAGTCATGGCAATATGGCTGAACACACTAAGAAGGTTGGAATCATTGGTTCAATATGGGACCTGCTATGGTGCCTCCTTCTTGAAAATGGTGAAGAAAATTAAAATTAGCCAGCATGCCAAGTACACTTGCTCCTTCTGTGGCAAAAACAAGATAAAGAGACGGGCTGTGGGGATCTGGTACTGTGGTTCCTCCATGAAAACAGAGGCTTATGGAGCCTGGACCTACGACACCACTTATGCCATCAAGTCAAGTCTGCAATCAGAAGGCTGAAGGAATTGAAAGACCTGTAGAAGTTCTACCATTTGAGACATCCCTAGGTTATAATAAATGGGTGAATTTATATAACAAAATTGTGGTTTATTTTTATTATGTTAATTAGATGTTCTTATGTACATTGCATTAATATTGTCTTTTCAAAAGAGATTTATAAATTGGAGCCCTTCTAATTTGAATTGGAAAAGTTTGCTGAGATAGATTATTGTAATTCAGTTTTTTTTTGTTTTATTTTTCCAGTAGTCAGATGATAATAGCTTTTTTTTAATAACTGTTCAACTTCTCAGAAATACACTGACATATTGTGCAAAATTTGTTTTAAAGCTAAAATACACAAAGAATATACATAAATTGCCAAAAAAAAAAGAAAGTAAGTTCCAAAGCCATGTGGGTTAAAATCAGAAAGTGATTTTATCACCCTACATAGATCAGGGCAGCTAAGAAAAATGAGTCTTCTGATAGATACTAAGAATCAAAGTCTTCATCCATAGGAAAATCTCAGTTTTGAGTGCTGAATGGGATACTTCAGACAGGGCTGGCCTATATTCCCCTAGACTACAAAGTGAATGATGCCCCACAGTTGTGCATTATATACATTCCATATGTTGATCCTGAAAGCATTTCTGGTCACCTAAGATAGGCACTAGGTCAAACTGAGGAACAACCCTACTTACACGGATGATGGGATTTCCCCTGCATTGCCAGCTATAATATCTGGCTTTGGTTCTGGCTTTTGGGGAGTAGCTGCCCGGCTGGGAGGGTCTGGGGGTCTCACTGGGGGACGGATGATCGTTGGCTTTTCTCCTGGAGGCCGCACTTTGCTGACACTGTCAGTATCCCCTAGAAGAAAGAACAATACCAGAGACTTGAATAATTAGCCAAATGGAACAAACTCAGAAACAGGAACCCAATAATCAAGTTATGAAGCCATTTTCCTTGGCCTCCATTTCTTCTTCATCACCAAAATCTCTGTCTTTTTCTGCCAGCTGTCCCTTCAGAAAGTCTATGTTTGAACCCCAGGATCCATAACTTAGTAAACCTTGGTTTTGTCATATAACTTCCTAAGTCTCTTTTTTCTCAACCATATAATCAAGATTAAGACCACATTATATTACAGAGGTATTGAGACAATTAAATTAGGTATTAATATGTTTAACAATGTTTGATAGTGAATTTGAATTTGACAAATTCATCATCACAGATATTCAGGTCCTTTCCACTTAGGTTTTGATTATTATAATACTCTCCTAAGTCACTTCTTACCTCTATTTCTCTAGCTTCCAGGTTGGCAGTACATATTAAATATAAATACTTTCTTACAAAATGGTTCTGATAGGATTATGGTGAAATGAGAGCACTAACACATTGCTGGTGCCACTGTAACTAGTTTTATTTTGTCTAAATACTCATTAAGCATTCTAGAACAATGTGGATAACTACAACATCATATATATGAGATAGTTTGGACTCATTGATCCAGTAATTCCACTTTGAGAGACAGGCCCAAAAGAATTAATCCAAGACAAAAAGAAAAAACAATTAGCACAAACACATGTATCTTAACAGAAAAAAAGTCAGAGCCAACCCCAAAAGCTAAGCAAACAATTTGATTCTTCCAAGCATTTAACCAAACATATTATACATAAACTGACAAGGATTTGGACAAGCTCAAAACAAAAACATGCTTGTAAAATAATATCAAGTGACAAAAAAATGTCCACAACAAGTGCTCATGGCCTGATGCAGACAATATTGAAGTAGACACACAATTATGCAAGGGTGTTAGTAGATCTTGTTATTTGATTAATTTTTGTGAGTAGATACTGATATTCAATTTTTTTCTACTAAAATGTTCAAGGTAAATATAAAACACTAAATTGAATTCATATGCTACTGTTGTAAGGTTTACTTTATTTATACTGTTTCCTCTCTATTTAACACCTTTCAAAAAGCTCAAAAATTCACAGGATAAATTTCAAAACCCTTAATGTCAATTCAGAGTCCTCCATAAGCCTAGTTTCAAATCACTGTCCCAAGGACAAACCCTGAACTTTAACTTTAATCACCAGCTCAACTAAAATCCAACTTGTCTCACCACCTTATCTGATCAAGCCCTTGACTCTTACTTAAAGGTAAGATAATATGTTATAATAGAAAGAACAAAGAGTTTGGAATTGTGCAGACCTGGCTTTGGGGCTTTGTTCTGTTATGCTACTTCCTAACTGTGGGACCACAGACAATTACTTCACCTCTTTGACTACCATTGCCTCATCTGGGAAATGAATATAATTAACCCTGCTTTCAAGGTGATTTTAAGAAGTAAATTATTTAATTTATTTTTTTCTTTGTACCAGGGATTGAACCCAGAGGCCATATCTCCAGCCCTTTTTATTTTTTTTATTTAGAGACAGGGTCTCAATAAGTTACTTAGGGTCTCCCCAAGTTGCTGAGGCTGGCTTTGAATTCGAGATCCTCCTGCCTCGGCTCCACCCCTCACACTGGGATTGCAGGCATTTGCCACAGTGCCTGCTTCCAATTTAGTTATACACACACACACACACACACACACACACACACACACACATTGTCTGTATGTCCTATAGGTAGTGTCTAGCACACAGGGTAATTGATATACTTTTTCCTGCTTTTTTTCATTATTATGTGCCCCTGATCTCATGTCTCACCTATATTATAATCATCCCTAAAGACATGATGCAAATCTCACACCTCTGGACACAGCACACAAATATAATTTCCATTTATGTAAATGTTCCTGAAGTGCTTAGATATTGTTATGTTTTTTTTTAAAAAAATCCATCCACCTAGGCATTCTGGTGAGACAGGTATTCACAGAGATAATGATAATATAGTGTGATTTATGTTCTGATGAAAGAATTACCAAAACATTATACATGAGCATACATAAATTTTTTCTCCCAATGTAGTCTGCATCTTATATTTCTGGGCACATCATTCCCTTTAGCCTAGGCTGAAAATACAGAATTACATTAGGAAAAAAATAATCAAAATGATAATAATCCATTTTTTTCCAAAAAGTGTCATCCTGTTCAAAGCACTCTTCCAGATGATAAATATTTGTTCAAAAATAAACTTGGGAAAGGAGAATAGATAGGTCTTATTATCTGCATTTCACAGAGAAGGCAACTGAGGTTCTGAAAGGTAAACTAATTCACCCACAACTACATACTCAGATAACTGACAGAGGGAGGACTGAAACCTACATCTCTTGTCTTATATCTCTTGTCTCTATATCGAGTGATTTCCCCAGTATCCGCAGTTTTGTTGTTATTATTAGGAATATAAAATTATAAATGATAAAAATGACAGTGGTAATAAAATAATACTAGTAAAATAAATTATCTAACTTGTTATTGAACACCTGTTCTGTTGTAGGTACTATGATACTGTACTCAGCACTTTATGCCTATTTTTCCCATTTAACATTGGCCGTAATTGTACAGAAAATCTTGCCCCTATTATACAGATGAGGAAAAGAAATTCCAAGGTAAGTAGTAACCTCATAGTTTATCAACAATAAAACCAGCTTCATTTGATTTCCGAAACCCATGTTGTCCCAACTACCAGTAGTTATCAGCCCTGGCTACACATCAGGAATTTGTGAAGAGCTTTAAATTTATATAATACCTGGGTATCCTCCTGAGAGGTTCTAGTTTAATTGACTAGAGTAGGATCTGGGCATGTATATTTTCAATGTTCCCTAGATGGTGTGATGTGCAGCCAGGGTTGAGAAACTCTAGGCCATACAACTGCTTCTTCACTGTAGTTTAGAGATTACCAGAGAAGACAATACTGTCACATTTCTACTACCTACTGGAAGAAAGTTGGGCAGGAAGGATGCGCCACACACGCAGAGCCAGAAAACATTTCCTACCTGAAGCCATGTCCATCCTAAGGCTCACATTCCCCTTGATGAGTAAACAACATGACACCACCTAAATATGAACCCCATTCATTCCTAACTCACAGTCATATCCAAATGGACATCAAAATAGGGCCTTAGGAAACAAACATCATGAACCTTGTGTCTGCCTTTGACCTTTATTTGCAGGTTTAACTTGATGATTCATTATAAGTATGACTTTGAAGTGACAGCAAAGGGTTTTCTTGGCTGAAAGACCCCAATGTTGTTCTTTCTTTCCTCAAATTTGTCTCACTGCTAAAGCACAATGCCAAACTGGTGAGGCTGGGAGGGAAGAGTCATATAACTTGGGGTCAAGAAACCTGAAATATAGTCTTTGTCCTAAAACTAAGCTGTATGATCTTCAGCAGATCACTTCCCTACAATACAACACGGGGTTGGACTGTTGTCCAGATGAATCAGCCTATGATATGTCTTTAGACTTCTATCTCTCCCTGCTGACTTTTACATGCTACATTGGGAGTACTCTAGAAACCCCAATGTATTCTGCCTCTCTTTCTCAGAAGATTTAGACTTCATGGCTCCTTGCTGTCCACAGAATATACTCTGACATGTTTAACCTGGCAAGTGTGACCCACTTCCATTTGGCTTCAATTCTCCTTTCTGATCTAATTTTGTACCATTCTTCTTCACATATCCTATAATTCAAGCAGTAGTATTTATTGTTCCATGTATATGCCTTACAATTCATTATGTCTTTCTAATATGCTATTTACCCTATTCCCTCATGCCCAAAATTGTATCTTCAGAAGTTTAAAATGCTCCAAGTTCTTTCTCTGGCTCTTAAGGCACTGATCATCTTGTACTTTGAATCCTGTAGTTTGGATCTTTGTTTTCATGGCTCTATCTGTCCTATTAGAATTGGAGCATTCTGAGAGCAAGATACAGGTGGCATTCATCTCTGTATTCCCCACAGACCCAAGTAGTTTGCTTTGCATAAAACTGGTGAATATTTAACAAATATTTATTGAGTAAAAAAAATTGCACTTCAGTCTACTAGAAGGACAGCAAAGAAAGCTTTCCCTTTTTAGGAACCCATTGGGCTACATGTAACGTACACAAACATAATATAAACAAGATTCAGATCTATTCTGTAACCCAAGATGAAAGGTATTCAATATATCAGGAGTTTTTTGAGGCCCCATCTTAAGCTCTCATGAGGAATTCTCACAATTGTTCCCTGGCTTCTTAAAACTGAGTTGGGAAGAGAAGACATACTCACATGAACTAAGAGTGAAACCTATCACTCAGTATCCACATTAGAGGGCCAAATTTAGGTGCCCAAGGAATGGGTTAAGGGAGAGTTCCCTAGGACAGGATTGTCAGGAGATTTCTTGGACCAAAGAAGACTTGAGCTGAAGCTAATGGAACAGCTAAGAACCCTCCTCTTCTCCTTCCCTAAATAATGCCTCTCTCTGCATGTTCACTCTGAGTACCTTTATGCCATCTACATTTTGGGCCTCAGGTGTCTCATGGTCCATAATCAGAATAGCAGACAACCCTATTTTCCATGCCCACCATTTCTTACCAGATGCTTTTACACCTCAACTAACTTATTCTCCACAAAAATCTTACCTGCCTGCAATAGAGGTGTTGTCTCTAATTCCACTGAGAAGATAAAACTCAAAGATGTGAAGCTGACCTAATGAAAACTGTGCAGCTGGTAAAACCTCTAATAAGGGCAAAAAACCCGCTACTGTTTCTGAGTACTCATGATGTGCCAGGCACACACCTGTCTCCCTTCATCATTATAGCAATCCAATGGACACAGTTATTAGCCTCATTATAAGAAGGACAAACCCAAGATTCAGAGAGGTTATGAACTGCCCAATGTCCTACAGATTGGAAGGGGAATATCCAAGATTCAAACTCATAGCTGGAACACTCTGGAGCCTGACCACTAAGACCACTAAGGACCACTAAGCCTCTTGAGCCTATAGTCTTTCCACTTGTTTTTCCTTTTAATTTTTTTTCTTAACTTTGGAATTTGGCTAATACTCTAAATTGGATCTCCTTCTCCAATCTAATCATTTGTTTTCCTCTCTAATTCTCTGTCAAATGAAGATAACCAAAAAATCTTATAATTTGCAGATTTTGGGGAACCTGATGGTGATCAGTCTTCAATCTTAAGCAACATTCTTCCAACTTTCCTTTTACCTATCTACACTTAACCTGAGACGGTAGGGAAAGATTGTTTCCACTTGAAGAGTCTCCCAGTTTTCTAGAAGAATCTCTTCCTATGACACTTTTCCATGCTCCCCTAAAGCCTTAACCATTAATTATCCATGAAGAACAAGTTGGAGTTACACTGCAGTTAGGACAGAGATTTAAAATCAAACAATAGATTATTAAAGCATAATGAGTCCAAACAAGAAAATATGGATAATGGCCAGCAACGCCCATTACTGCAGAAGCAAGTCTGTTCCTAATACTTTTAAAGCAGATGAAAATGCCACTTACACTATTAGTCACCCCAGTAGAAAATTGATGGCCTTATGACTGAGCAAAACCTTGGAAGTATCCTTCTTGCAATCACAGGAGGACCTCAGTTGATGTAGTCTTTTCTCTCAAGACAGAGGAAAAGAGCTAAGAAGGGTTCCTAAATCATAGGGTTATAGTGAGCGGTGTGCTCTCCACTTTTATCTCAATACCTCAGGCAGAATGAAGAACTCCTTGCTCCATGCACCTACTGAAACTTATTCTCTCCACCAGTAGATCATGGATCATACTGGGCTGCGACTGGCTGCTTACATGCCAGACTCACTATAATCCATCAGAAGGCAAGATCATGGTCACTCTCATTGCTTAGCACTGTCTGAATAAATGAGCAAATACATGTAAGTAAATGGGAAATAGCCCTCCTGCCTCTTTATTCCCCAAGGAAAGTCCTAAATTCCTCTGTGGGAACTACACATGCCTTTTGCACAGCCAGAAATGGTAAGAAGAAGTAACATCAAATGAAAGGTAAAGGGATGTTATAATTTTGTCACTCCCAACGTGAGTGTCTTTTAGGGAAAAAAATAGAAAGGAGAAAGTAGCTTAAACAGCTGAATTAAAATGTGGTATAAACAAGCTGATCTGGGTTCAAGCCCCATATCTACTTTACAATCTGAATTCCTCTGGGCAAGTTGTTTCATGTCTCTGAGCCTGTTTTTCCATCTGTGCAATGGGAACAGTAAAACCTGCCTCACAGGCTTGTCACAATGATTAGATGAAATAGAAGAAGAAAAAATATCCAGCTTATGTCTGGAACAGAAAAGGGCCCTTGATAAAATTCCACCAGCAAACAATATTGATTTTATTGTAAAGCTGACTGTCATGGAAGAAAGCAATTTAACAGGCACCATGCTTTTATTCTTTTTAATTGCTGAGGAAAAAAATGTGCAGAATCCACTTAAATGGTGGATCACTGCAAGAAGTGAAGATGGGTGTCAGGATAGTGGCACATTTGGATCCCTAAAGTAATAAAGCATCCTAGGGAATGGAGCTGAAATAGAGTGACAACTTCGAGGTTCAGAGTGGGTCAGATGACTTGACAGCTTCTTCCTGTGATTCTGTTAGCACAGGGTTAACAGCCACCACCTATAGCTCAGGGTCATGGCTATTTGCAGAGTTTTCCTAACTGATAACTATTCTGATACCTATGAATCCACCAGCATGGCAGCCAAAATCATGAGGGAGAAAAGGACGCAGTGGTGAGGTGGTGGCCTGGGTAAGGTTCAAAGAGGCAACTACCCCAGAGGTGTGGCTAATGTTCCACCAAGGCCAAAGACACTTCAGTTCTGTATTCTGTGGCCAAGGCTAGAGACCTTTGAAAAAAGCTGAATCATTTCAGCCTGTGGCTAACTGATTTAGGGCATAAATCAAAGCCTGGCAATGCTGCAGCCTAGATTTAGATAGTCTGACTGATACTAGACAAGTCAGATCAGTACTTATATTAACTGACATCATTAAATGACAGCAGCTGCCACCAGCGCCCAGAGGATGGTACTGTGGAGGAAGGGGAAGAAGAGAAGGCCACTGGGATTGAACTTTGAAGCAGAAGATTGTAAGGGTAGAAATGATAGGGAGGGATAAATAACTTCTTCTGAAGAGCTGATAGAACCTGGCTGATCTCAAGGTTTGGCGACTGTAATGAGTGTAAGTGGAGTTATCCAACTTTCTAGCAGATTGATATGAAGGTCAATATATAAATTATAAACTGAAGCAGATGTCCACATAGAAGTCTGGCCTTTATTTTTTTGTCCTGGCCTTTATTTATTTATTTATTTTTTTCGGCTCTACTTCCCAGAAGAGGCAAATCTTAGGAAGGGAGGGACAGGGGAAGAGAATCAGTATCATATTTTATAGGTTGGTTATGCCAGATATTTTCTTATTCCTTTTTATCATAGCAATAATTCTGTGGGGTGAGCTGTTTCTCCCATTTTACAGATATGGAAACCAGTGTGCAAAGAGGTTAAATAACACATGGAGGCATCAGAGGATCCAGCCAGAAAATTCATAGGGTCAATTACTTCATAAAATGTGTACCAGCCCCCACACAGAATAGACTTTCACTAAATTGTCCTCTGAGACAATGCCATTGGCCCACAGTGAGGTTGTTATATGCCACAGTCCGCAGAAGAAAAATTTTCCTGGCCTCCAAAACAGAAAAGTTATGTTTTACCTGAGCAACAGGCTATTTTTCCCTTAAGAACTTGGAATTATATAACTGTTGAGGTTTCTTTCTTCTTTTTTTCTCTAGAAAGTTTGGAGCCAACTCTGTGATGCTATTCCAGTAAGTGTGTAAAGTTTCACGGCAAACATTTTGTGCACTGATTCCTTTCCTGTTATTTCCCTCCTATCCTATCTTCCCATGCCCCTGCTCTAGAATTCATTTTTCTTGCTTGTGTTGTAGAATCTCAGGCAAGGGTCAGCAACCTTTTTCTGTAAAGGGTCACATAGTTAACATTTTAGGCTTTACAGAGCCATAAAGTTTCTGTTTTTATTCTCAATTTGTTATAATGTGAAAGCAGCCCTAAACAATATGTAAATGAAGGGGTATATTTATGTTAAAGAAACAAATTTGAATTTCATATAATTTTTATTCATCATAAAAATTGTATCTTCCCTTAATATTTAAATATATCAAAACATTCTTAGCTTGTGGGCCATATAAGAAAGAGGTACTTTGGATTAGGCAGAGGGGAGTGAAGGGAGGGGAGGGGGAATGGGGGTAAGAAAGATAGTAGAATGAATTGGACATTATTACCCTAATGGGACATTAATACCCTATGTACGTATATAGTTACATGACCTGTGTAACTCTACATCATGTATAACCAGAAGAAGAAGTTATACTCCATTTACGTACAATGAGTCAGAATGCATTCTATTGTCATAAATAACTAACTAGAACAAATAAAGATTAAATAAAAAAGAGGTAATGGGTCTGATCTGGCCCACATATCATAGTTTGCTATGCTCTATTCTAAGCCTATAGAGGACAGGGACCTTGTATAATTGATTTCTGTGTCCTCAGCACCTAGGATGGGACCAAGTACACTATTAGTACCCAGCCAATAGTTTCCAGATGCATTATTCTTACTATTTTACATTTTTATATTTGGCTATATTGTGAAATGCCTTAAATCCTTTCTAGAACAGGAGAGGATACAAATACATAAGGCACATGTTAAGAAGGTCATCCGGATACAAAGTAAAAGAGCCAGAATTTGGATTCAATCCTCTGAGAATAAAGTCTATATTTTCATTATACCATACTATTTTCATAGAAATCATATTCTCAAACTTCCCTCTGGATCAGCGCCTTCCTCTCACTATGTGCCCCCATGTGTATAGCTTACAAAGATTGTAGAAGTCAACTACATCTAGAATTTGTAATGATTTTAAAAGTGTAGACGAACAGAAGCTGTATCCCTTTGTCCTTATTTCTCCCAAATGAGAAAATGAGAATGAGAAAACAGTGGTTCACAGATTCAAAGTTTCTTATCAGAAGGCAAAACGAGGGTTCTGCATTCATGGAAAGAACACAGATTTTTGGCACCTGCAAGATGTGCTAAGATTTAGATCCCAGCTCTGGCAGTCACCATGTGATTCTCTGGGAAGTTGCTTATTTCTAGGATCTTCAGTTTTCTAACTGAAATATGAATAATACTTTCTTCACAAAAGGGTCATGAGGATAATAAAACTTAGGACTTAATACAATGCTAGGTACACAGAAGATACTTAATAAATGGCAACAGAAACAAGTACTTACTATGTGCCAGCAAGACATTGTTCTAGGTACTTGGAATATAGAAGAACAGAAAACAGGCCTCAAGTCCCTGCTCTCATAGAGCTTACATTCTAGTGATTATTGTGAATGTTTCTGTGGTCTCAACCACCATTCCAGAATGAGTTCTAGTAAAGTGGAACACATTCCCACTTATGATATTTCCAATCCTGGAAGGATCTCAAGGTGAAAAGTATATGGGTTTAGTTCTGAATCCCTTGGGATTCCCAAGTACTTACCTTCCTTGTGGTGAGCCAGGGGTCGGGGAGCTGGTCTCTTTATGTGGAAAGGAGGGGTCTTTGTGGGGCCAGGGCCTGGAATTGGTCCATTGGTGGCCTTTGGGGTAGTCTTGGTCCCTCCATCCTGTATCCTAGATACCAACTTCCCCACATCCACCTCAGGGCACGGCTCCAATTTGCCATCTGAAATAAGCCTGCTTGGAGACTTTCTCCCAGGATCAGCTTCCCCACTCCTCTGCATAGGTAGTTTGAGGTGTTGTGGCAGCTTCGGGGGTTCTAGGTTGATAGTGATAGTACCATTAGGTGTTTGATGTTGGATTTCATCTGAGAAAAGTTGGTGCAAAGAGGAAGGATTAGTGATAATCTCTAAAACCCTTTCATTTTGATATATGTATATGTTCCTAATTTTTAAAAGTTGTACACATTTTCAAAACTGCTATATACACTGTGGCACAAATAAATTATAACCCACAAGATTAGGCTCTGCCCTTCCTAATTCATGAGGAGTCACAGGTCCCATCTAAATAAGGAATTCAATTCAAGATCTGAGTATGATTTTCACCACCAGAATTCAGCAAACCACAATAAACTAGGCTGTTTTATTCAAAGGGGAATGAATTCAAAAGGGACTTAGCGTCCCCAATGAATTTCATATTCTATTCTTTCTAAATAAAGACATGAGTTAATTCTTAACTATTTTCTCAAAAGTAATTTGTTAATGTTTCTCAAATTTCAAGTTAATAAATATAGCAGAATTTAACTTCTTTCTCCACCCCCATAAAGAAACCCTCAAAAAGCCACTTTATGTTCTTCCTCTAACCTTTGTGGTCTACAATTTCCTCTGACATTAGTGCAAGCTTTTCAGTGACTCTGAGTCTTACTTAGAGCTTCTAAAACTATAATGAGAGCCAGGTACTCTTGCCTAGAAAAATTAACCTACATAAATACAGTCAAAACTTAAAAAATTGATTTTAAGTGACCCACAGAATTCCCTGAAGTTGTCAATAACTCCCCAGACTGAACCTGCTGCAAGGGAATTGTCATCTTCTTTAGCAATAGAAAATGTAGATCAGAATTTAGTGGTAGAAAACATACTTCTGGCCAGCAAAATGATTCCTGAGAGCTGTACTGGTCTGTTGCAACAGATGGATTACATTTAAAAAAAAAATAAATATGAGACAATAGGAGAATTTGGATACTGACTAGATAGTTGATCTTGCGGTATTATCATTTTCTTTTAGATAGGCTGATAATAATTGTTGTTTTAGTTTAAAAAAAAAGAGTCCTTATTTTTAGAGATACATACTGAAACACAGATAAAATGACCTGATGTCTGGTTGGGGATTGGGTAGGGGCATAGATAAAACAAGATTGTTCACACAAATAATAACTTGGAAGATTCAAAGATCAGGGTTTATCTGAGAAAAAATTTTTAAAAATGTTTAGTTTGACTTGAGAATCTGTGACTAAAAGAAGATGAGGTTGTTAAGACGGATTGAAGTTATATCATAAAGATCATAGATGCCATCCTCAGGAATATGTACTTCATCTTTAGGCCACAAGGGATAATTACTTTTTGGGTGACAGAGAAGCAGCATTCTCAAATATGTATTTTTAGAACATACCTCTGGGTTCATTATGAAAATCAGATTGGACCAGAGATACTGGAAGTGGGGGGGGGTTAGTTGATGAGAAGTATCTAAGCTGGAATGAAATCACCAAAAGATAATCAAGAGATATTAAAGAGGTCGAATGGCCATGACTTAGATATGGGGTTATGAAGGAGCCCATAATGATTGTGGAGGGATTTGATTCACTGAAATACTATTTATAAAAAAATAGTGTTTGGGGTAAGGAAATGAAATATTACTGATAAAGAATGGTGGTAAGCAGAAGGATTGTTTCCTTCTTAGAACAATATTCAGACAAGTCATATGAAACACACAATTTTTTATAGTAGGTAATAGTACTTTAGGATAAGATAGATGGGTACAAATTGCTGTTCTGTCATTTAGCAGCTATCGTTAACTTGGAAAATAACCTCCTTTTGAGTTTCCAATGCTTGCCCTACAAAAGAGAGCTCCACATAAATATCTCACACACAAATGTTAAACATTAATTGAGATTATGGATTTTTATCCACTTAGGATGCCTGGAATCAAAGTCAGGATATGATAGGTGTTGGTTGCTGAGGGCCATTACCAAGTAGGAATGACGCATCGAAATTTCCTTGCCAAGCGTACCCCATGCTGCTTAGAGGACATTTGATGGGACATTGCATG